GGGGGGCAAATAACTGAACGGACAATTAAAAGTTGTCTTTTATTAAAACAAAGCACACGAGATGGACTTAACAGTCAACATGATTATGGCTCTTGTTCATTGCTCACCCATTCAGTTTATAGAACAAAGTTGTTCCCCTGGGGTCACTCGTCTCACTGGTGCATATTCTGAATGGATTCTATAGGGATAATAAAAAAAGACAAAAGAAATAGGATGACAAATCAGAAGATATTTGAAGGATTCTGAGTAAGTTGAAAAACAATGTGGAGCAATCAATTTTGTAATAAAATGTTAAAATAGCACTTATACAAGGCATATCCATGCTCGAAAGCAAGTTCTATGCCCTTTACACTATATTATTACCCCTGCAGACTTTAGAACACTCACAGACATTCTTGACTTCCTGAGAAGCATACAGTGCAAGCAACTGATTAAGCACTCAAACACTAACAAACTGACAAGATTTTTCACTGTCTATAGCCAGGTGCCCATTCTTACCTGGGTGAAATGAGGAAAATACCTTAAAATGCCTTTCCCAGGGAAAGAACCTCAGGTACCAGATGGGATTCAAACCCACAACCTTACGTTTGCAAGTCTAAGAGCCTAACTACTAGCCAACCGATATTTCTTCAAATGTATCTACTGCTATCACCTCTGTACAAACTGCTGAATAGAAATACAGAAATACAGTGGTCTCTGCCTAAGACAACTCTGTGTAAGAACTCGGTCCTCCTAAGATACCATTGTTCCTGTGAATAGGAATTTTTCCTCCATAATTTATGTGCCTAAGGACTCTTGGATCAAAAGAAATGCACCTAAGAATCTGTTTTGAAAAAAGACAATAAACTGTTCTGCTTTACCATACTTTGCACAGGTTGGGGAGAGGGTTTGGTGAGAACTAGAGGATGAAAAAATCTACACACTACAGGGATACTTTTTTCAAAAACAAATCTTTCTATCTTTCTCCTCTGAAGTCCATCCAAGAACCCACTTCGTCCGTCTCAATGAGATTAGGTTCTAAGACGGAAACAAGAGCTGTGCCCATTCGATTTCACTATTTGACATTCACGATTTTTGCTTTATTAACAGCTATTCAAACCTGGCCAAGCCATTCGAATGCTGCGTGATTTTTTTTCATAATGGATTTCTTGTAATTTTTCTTAAACCATAGTAGTGAAATTAAAGCGTAATAAAGTATCTAAATTCACAGAGGTAAATTCAGCATTACGTTTAAGTTTATGATTATGGGACAGAGGGATAAGGGGAGCCAGCATTAGTTATAAAACATGTCTCTAACAGGCACTCGTGATACCATTAAAAACTCAATAGACCATAGCTTCAAAGCCTAGCGGGTGATTTTGCATAGGCTGACATGGGCCAACTGACTGAACTCCCCTTGCACACAATTCTACATTCGAAGCATAAGGCTATGGTTACCCACTACCGTTTTGAAGCGCAGCCAATTTTTTTTGTATGGTGGGATGCTTAGCTAACTTAGCTCCCCTTGCACAATGAGACATTCAAAGCAAAAGACTGTATGGATACCCACCACTGCTTCGAAGGGCAGCGAAAGGTTTTTTTTGTAGGCTGGAATAGTCATACTTAGCTCCCCTTGCACAATTGAGGCGTGTCGTGCGTGGTTAGGGCCAGGGGACCGACAGGCGTGTTTTGATTTTTTTTCAAACAAAAAAAATCAGCCAGCCATCACACACACGGGGTTCGTTAGGCTCGCACACCGAGTTGGTAGGTGCAGTGGGGATATGGCAGGGACCAATGAAATGAAAGATAATGAGTATTATGAGCCATGCTGGCCACGAGTTCGCCCCCTTTCATGATTCCCCCTCTCCCCTCCTCTCATGTCATTTTTGCCTCTTTCTTCGAACATTTTATCACCACCGCGCTGCACAAACCACGGTGGCGGCAAGTGAAGAGGCAGGCGTACACTAAGCTCAAAATCACTGAATGAGAAGGGCTGTGAATAGTGAAAATTTAATAGCGATAACTGCCGACAGACTCATACACATATAAGATAAAAAAAGAAAGAAAAACTATTTGCACATGGTATTCGAATAACATGAATAGTGATCTCGCGCTTTGACGAAGTTCTTTTTTTCTCAAAATCGGACAGCACTAGCAGAAACCACTACCTATTCTTCAAACTGAGTTCACAAAAACACTAAACAACCTTTTCAAATGTACACCAGGGCAATAGAACAACCATGTTCTATTCATACACATTTGTTAAGAAAAAAAGTAGACATGGGAATGCATTCCTCTATTTTTGCTTCAATTTTACACTTCCACTCCCACTTCTCTCCAAGATTATATACAGAATTCCCCCTCCTCCCAATCTAAACACCCTGATTCTTTCACCAAGACTTTTTGGCCCAGAAAACTTGCAATGCTCAAAATTCTAAATTGTAAGACGATTTTTTTTTCAGATTTATGCTTTAATTTGCAGATCATCATTGGCAACAATCAGTAATTTTTAAATTTGACCTCAGAAACTTTGCGGATCGTCACAAAATATACATCTGATACCATTTCAAAAACTGTTTAAAATCATTAGTCTCCTGTTCTAAAAAATAAATTTTTACAATAATATGCATTAGCGCTTACAGCCCATTAACTGACCAAGATAGAAATAGCCTGACTCTTAAATTTTCCTTACCCTCAACTTATTCCCATCTCAGCAGAAGGAAGTGAAATCCTTACAGGGAAAATAGTATCCTCACATTTCAACCAGGGAATTCAGTAAACTCAGCAAACAGTCTGCAAAAAAGTCACAGTTGAGGAAACATATCTGCTTACCTGGTTCTGAGGTACTGAAGTAGCAAAACGACGTTTGGCAGCTGGGACTTCAGGCAAACCATTACTCATCAAACGCGTAATTTTCCCATTTTCCACATTGACGGCAATCAAGACATTAGTCTGTAAGTAAATAAAAAGAGAAATTACTTTAGTTTAAGGTAAACTTAGAAATCAACAGAATCAAACAAGAGTAGTGAAAGCAGCTTGAACATATCACATTCATGTTTGCACAAATCAAGTACTTAATTCTTCCACCAGCATCCACAGACATCTCACATACAAGAAGCCATCTTCTGTGAAAATAGCTGCCAAGGACACAACTCAACCACTTTACAATCATTTGCTATCTGTTGCTGACTTCAATTTTGACAGAAGTTGTTTCTAGGAATTGTTTCATTTTCTAAAACTGGATGAAAAAGAGCCTGCTTCTTGCTGCTGCCAGTAACACAGTTATTATTTTCATTTAAATTATTTGACTTGTAAGCACTCAGTTCCTTTCAGTCGCAGGTATTGGGAGAATAGAGGGAATGATGTCTATTTCCGTATAGTAAAAAGTATTAAACTGAATGCTGTAAATCCCAGCAACATGCCAAAAATGCAACAACAAAAAAATCCTGTTAGCATGCCAAGTCTCATATCTGACAGGATAATTTAGAATTTAGGAAACTTTAAACTCGAGTACATGTTATGATCTTTTTCTTCCTTGAATAAATCTGTGGTTTAAAAAAATAGGCGTACTTTCATTGCTTTTCTTTTGAAAAGAGAAATGCACTGTAAATAGCTACAACTTATTTTACTACATGGACATGAATTACTGACAGAAAAACTTACCACTTGTTCATGAAGAAGGACAGTGTCATCAAGGGGAGCTGCTAGGGCCTGAATCTTGACCTGAAAGTTAAAACAAAACATGAAAATAAAGAAGATCAAGAAGGAAACATATGGCCACTTTTAAGGACAAGCGGGCTAACCCACATTTTGCAGGTTTCCAGAAATCTTGACCTGCACCAAAAGTGGGCATTGCCCTACCTACAGGAGAAGTTTGGTTTCATTGGTGGGTATATATTTGTTTGGTTATAGAGAAAACTCTCCTTGTCTTTTAAAGAAACTGAACAAGGGGCAAAAACTTTATCTTTGATTTTCTCAAAACAGCTTTTTTTAAAACAGCATTTTTCGGAATAGCCCCCTTGTGCTTAAAAGCGACCATATACAGTTGACATTGTCTAAGACGCCACCCATTGACCAGGAGAAAAGTGGGTGTCTCAGACAGGTGGATGTCTTACACAGTGCCATTATACTATAAAAAAATGTGCAAGGGAGGAAATACAAACTGGCCATTTGTACAAGGTGCTTGTCTTATACAGGTGGTCGTTAACTCTTTGAACCCCATTGGACTCTGGGAGCGTCCGGCGGTAATAACCCTGTTCCCCATCGGACGCTGGGAGCGTCCAATACTAGAAATAACTGTTTCGTTTTATTTAGTGCTAGTTTTCACTTGTTTTTTCAGGACTATTCCCGAACCAAGTTTTATAGTAATGACTAAACCTTTGCTTCCACTATTTAGAAGTTGGAGGCAAGCTTTTGGGGTTATAATGAGACATAGTGCACCAGGTTTAGGTGACTGTAAAAAAAACCTCTGGGAAACGGTGGAAAAAACTCAGGGTTTAAAGAGTTAAAGCAGGTATGACTGCACACTAAAACCTGAGTAAGGGAACTGCTCTATGTTTCAATAAATTATAGGCCTACTTAACTTAAGAAGGAGGTCATCATTTTAAGGTGCATGGTACTTATACATTTCTAAATAAAATAAAGGTGCCTCGAAATACATGTATCTATGTGCATTTGACAGCAAGTTTGAAATCTATTTTACATTGGTCTGAGAGTGAAGAAAAGTAGGTTAAGTTATATTAAACCCTGTCTTTTAGTTTTACTTCCTGCACCAACTCTGAGCTCACTTTTTTGAGTATTTTACCCCTTCCCCCTTTTCCCGCTTTACCCCTTCCCAAAATCCTGCACACATGAGTTAATATACTTCCTCCCTGAAAGTAAATTCAGAGGACGAATATATCAACTGCACACCAACAGGCAATGCAACCCCCCCCCCTCCCCAAGGGAAGAACAACAAACAATAACCTCCTGACAAGCGTAAAACGGATTGGTCTCATCTTTGCCTTTTTTGCTTCCTTCTTACAAATTCTTCACTCTGACTATGAAGTAATCTTTTAGTGTCTAACCGGGCAATGAAACCATACAAAGTGATGAGAGTTGACAACAAATACCTGAGGTCTGTAGGAGCCCATAGTGGACGGAAATACGTCATAAAGATCAATGAGATTGACGGTGTGGGACGTGGGCGTCATAGTGTACAGGCAAATCGGATGACAGGTAGCCACATGGATCACATCATGCTTGCTCTGACCAGGACTTCTGGAGGCAGCTGAAAGGAAACAAGGAAACACAATTAATATCTGAAGTCTTTTTTCAACAAAAATATTTTTCAGTTACGGCTTTTGTAAGAATCAAAATTATTACAAGGACCAGATCATCAAAAGACAGTGTTGACATGATGGCTTAAAGAACTACGCGAGTTCGATTTCAGAGTGGGGAAAATATTTATAAAGTATCCAAGCCTCTCTGTCATCTCAGGTGGGCCTTAACAGGCGGGGTGGAAACACGCCTCTTAGATGTTCTAATTACACACTAGAAAGGAAGTAGACAGAAAAAAAGGTCGCACAGATGTAAAAAAAAAATAGGCAAAATAATTAGAAAGAATTTAATACAATACGATAAATATTTGTGTGGGAAAATGGTACAATCAGGCACTCATCAAAATTAAATGAAACCAAAGAAACCAACAATCTTCTGCTTGTTGGGCAATTGGCTCAACATCTTTTATGTGCATTTAAAAACACATTTCTGTGTGGATTTTACTTTAAAACATTGATTAAAGGAATTTAAACATTTTAATTTTCAGTTTCCAAAGACACTCAAGCTTTGGAAATCACCAAACATTTTCTCGCCAATCTTACCTCTGACACCAGACCATCCCCACCTTCTTCCATCACTAATATCTCGACTTCTCTTCAAAATAGATGGGTAGTTGTTTTTTTTCATCCAAAGCAAGACAAATGAACAACTTTAACTACTTTAAGATGATACTGATAACTCCATAAGCCCAAAAACTGACGAGCACATGATTCCACCTGGTCTCGATACATATGCACTCTTAAGCACATTACTGCATGGCATTCTCACATTAAAACACAATGGGCCCTGAGAGTTAATTGTTACCTTTGCTCACTGCAATATCACACACAATATTTGCTTCTTCCATAGGAATCAAAGAATTGGCCTCTTCCTCTGAGAACACTGAGGACCTTGACTCTGTACGGTCCAAGGGTTTGCTCTCAACAAACATCTCAACCGGCCCCTGGAAGACAAAATAATAATAACAATCAAAATAACAATAACAATACCAATTATAAATATATCATAATAATAATACAGTAGTCTCCGCCTAAGATCCTGGTGCTCGGGAGCAAGGAAATACGGGATCTTAGGCGAACGGGGATCTTAACCGACGAACCCAGGGAAGAATCTATGGTGACCCATGTTAAGGCTCACAATCGGTAAAATGGTCTCCCTCCACTCTAAAATGAACTGACGCGACCCCTTGGTGGGTTTATGGCATATGGCGAGCAAAGAGTGGTTAACGTTGATGACCTATCACAGTCCATAGTGGGATGAGGCATGCCATTTTCACTTATTATCCTACTACGAGTCTCAAGATCTATGACAAATCCAGTTGCCCCTCCCCTTTACCTGTCAAAAATTTATAACTTTCCATCTCTGACCAAGGGGCCCCCCCCTCCCCCCAACCGCCTTTGTCGTTACACACCATCCCGTTGTGAACACACCATCCCGTTGTGAACACACCAATTAAAATTCAGTCTGTCTCGCAAATTCGGGAGTAGAGACAACTGCTGCAAAGGTCAGGGAAGAGTTCACAGTTCGATGTGATCCTGCCTGGAGCGAACATGTAGGCTCAACCCACCCAGCGTGTGATGTAAGTTTAAGTGGAGAGTTCAGGTGCGAGTGCAATGCATGGGTAAAACAAACGTGTTGGTCAGTTCACACTCCGGTGTGATCCCGTCTGGGGAAAACATTGTATCGCTTCATTGAGTTTTACAATGTGTATGTGATCACATTCACGATAGTGGCTGATTTTTTACGCGACGGACAGTTTATTGATCTCAACTTTTCACTCTTGGTTGATCAGCTGTGCCCGCCCAGGTTTTTGTTCTGCAAATTATGATCACAAATGCGGGATCTTAGCCGAATGTAGACCTTCAGAGAGAATCAGAGCGGGATCTTAGGGGTGACTTTTGTATAGTAAAAATTCTGTTTTCTTATAACAGTGGGATCTTAAACGAACCGGGAACGTAACCGGTGGGATCTTAGGCGGAGACTACTGTAGTAGTCCAGTGTGAGCTAGCATAGTACTGGTCAATGCTGAGAAGTAGAAAGAGTAGACCATACTCACAAACTAACACTGTTACTATAAAGCTGGAAGTAACAAGAAACGGTTACGTAAAATTCGACTCAATGTATTTAGCTGTACAATGTTTCACCTTGATTTGAATCGGATGTGTAGTGACAGGGAGACTCATCAAAGCTGTCTTTGTCCTCATCCCTTGACTCTGAATGTTCCATGAACCAATGTGCTGCAACTTGGGCATTGGCAACCTATTTAGAACAACACACTTTAAACAAAAATGCTGTTTCAAGTTGCTTCAAACAGCTCATGGAGTCTGCTTTTTCAGAACAGACTGATCCCTCAGCCATATTTACAGCTCATGTTTGCTTCAGCTTTCTAAACATTTTCCCATTTTTTTTATTTTATGTTAACTTATTCTTTATACTATTCTTAAGGCACAACACAGAAAAGAAGTAGGAGAGAAGGATGTGATATAAGATATTTAAGAGAACTGAAATTTTCATAGAGACACCAGTCACAAAACCCAATGCAAGGAAAGCTAAGAATCTAAATATTAGGACATCTGAATTCAGTTCACTGAATGAACGGTGTTCAAATGTCCTGTCATGATATAGCTGCTGTAAAAAAACCATTAAAGAATTTTTCCTCTTTTGAACACAATCTCAAGAATTATGATAAAAACTTATTTTCTCTTTGCTCTGATGCAATGCACTTTTCTGTGACACCAGCTTATTTCCTTCACTCACTTCCATCTCACAGAGGAACTCAAATGATTTTTCAGACGCAGTATTTTCATAAACTAATGGTGTGTGTGGTTGGTGGGTGCTCTAGTGTGGTTTGCTCCTTTCCTTCAAAACATCTACAATCCTTATCTCTCCTCCTATTTTCTGTTTGTAACTCTCTCGTAACAGCTCTAATCTTCAGCACTTATACGACCTACTTGTGTTTCAAGTGCCCTTAAACTCTTTCTTAAAAAACATAAACAAATGAGATAACTTTGTGCTTACAGTCATGTTTTCTATGCCTATCCAAAGAAGTATAAGTAGAGAGTAATAGCAGTGTACCTGATTTAAGTTCTTTCATCAACTTCAACGTAAAGTAAGACGATTATCACTCAACAGCATTTAGATCTAACACAATCTGCAAATATTTACTACATAGGCATCTTTGCAGAACAGATGTGTGAATGCTCATTACGAGGTGCACACCTGAAGAGTGTCACTGGTAAGATCAACTCATTTCTCATCCCTCTGTTACCGCCCATCTCCTTTCATTCTAATAATAGAATATGGCGATTTGTTTGATGTGCACATCTGAACTTACACAAACATTAAAAAACAGAATTCATCGAATTAAGTCTTATTTACCAAACAAAAACCTGATTCTGTAACTGTAACAAGTCATATCATTAGTACATTTTTAGTCCTCCGCTGCATTAGCTTTTTGTATTGCAACCTTTCTCAATGCCTTTGAAGGAACGAATATTCTCAAGCCAAATATACTCAAGGTTATATCAATAAAAGCATTTTTTAAAAACCTAGTATGTCTCTTTCTTCAGACAAAACCAAAACTAAGGATTTAAGAGGTGAAAAGAGTGTCAACAGAGAAAAGATAGTTAACAAACTTTTCTACCTAAAATTTATAAAGCAGCAAAGAATCACCTTTTTACTGTTTGCATCGGCTATTATTTCATCCAGAAAAAAAAAAATTGACAAACGAGATCAAATTAACTTAAGACTCATTGGCAAAAAAAGAGTAAACTAGCATACTGAACACCCTTTTTTTCCCCCCCGCACTCATTTTATTTCACATGTTTCACAAATTTCGTTTTTTGCAAATGTTTTGAATTCGCAATTTGAGTCGCCCAGTATCATGTGTTCTAAATCACTGGACCCCTCTTCATTTCCCAAACGACTTATTTCAATAGTTTTTTTAAAATCATAAATTTAAGCAGAGCTAAAAATTAAACCCAGTATACCGTACCTCAAGCTATAAACCTCGTTTTTTATATCCTTCAGTCAATGGTAAGAATTCTGTGTGTTAAAGAAATGTTTATTTTGCAGCATGAAATGCTTTAAAGCAACTTTTTAATACTTCATTGCTTTAATAATTTTTAATGAAGGAAAGCAAAGAAATCTTTTTCCTGGAATAGACTCAGCTTAGAACAAGCTTTAAGACACTCTGAACTAAAAGGTTACAGAGGATGGCTCAATTGGAAGACTTTTAAAAAAATAATTTTATCACAATAGGTTCTTGTTACATTTGTCAATCAAAATTAATGGAACTGTGAAACTTTTGAGCATTAACACTCTTTTCCAGAGTCAAATGCATTCATTCCGAAAAACTGTATGCAGCAATCATAATGAAAAATTCAGTATCTCATGGTTTAAATTTGAGATGGAAAAAAAGGCTGCTCAGCTTTTACCCATGAGTCTTAAAGTAAAGATCATGAAAAAAAAAACATCAGTTCGAAAATGGAAAAATTAAAAGCACATTCTTGAAGTCTCTGCATTTGCAATATCACTTCTTTCTTGCCACGTAGAACTGAAACTTTAGTCACCTACAGCATTATTAATTCTAGTTAATTTATACTTTATCAAACCCTTTAAAGAAATACCTGAGAGACATGTTGTGTTGAGGAAGTGCTGTTACAGCCAGTTAGAACAATAGCAACCATGTTTTACACGGAAAATAATAGGATAATAACAGAATCACATAGAAGAGGAAAGAACAGATCACATTAGACCACCCACCAACCAACCATCTGGAGAGATGTGTGGAGGTGGTTTAACTTAATTGTGTTGCAGGGAGCTTAAAGTTCAGCGGTGATTAAAGAGTACTTTCACGACTAAGTTATTTGCACACACAATTTCAAGACGGAGACAAACACATGAAGAGTTCTTCACACAGTTCATAAAAAGTCAACAATAGCAAGAGTGTGTGGAAATATTTTTTTAATATACTGATGTAACACATCCCTGAGGTTCATTGTGTCAGTTAAGAGAAACACAAAGTGCTACTAAATTTACAGAGATCAAAGTACAATTAATTGTTTCTATTTACATAAATTTGCCACATATTACACAATGAAGACTTTCACCTATACCACTTTTTAAAAAGATGCCCCTATGATGTTACTGTGACTTTAATTTTTTTTAAGAAAAAGAAAAAAATGATTTCAAAGATCTACATTTAAATTGTGAAAAGTTAAACCACAGCAAAAATAAAAAGCTGCAATGATGAATCCACAACATTGAACCTTATCCTATGAGAGCTAAGAATAAAACAGAGGCCAATTTCATTGTTTATTTCATTTCTTTAAATGCTGACACATTCCCAGGGAAATGCTAGATCAATATATATTTATATATATATATACTTAATCACCTGTTTACAGAGAAATTGTAACGTTAAGATTGTTAAAGTCTCTGAGATCTGGTTCATATATACAACTTGTATGTTCAAAGACAGTAACATAAAATGCTTAAGATTCTGTACCATAATGGCACAATTTACAAAATCAAGAATACATCCCTGTCAACATTTTGCTCTTGGACACAGCAGTAGAGAGCAAACTTCAATCAACCATAGCAAAGTAAGTCAAAACGCATTCTCAATAAATTGCACTTTGTATAAAACAGTATATTTTAAAAAACTGCAACATATGAGATAAAAATACCTCATAGGGGCATCAAGCATTTATTCCACACTCAACCTACTGACAATATTTAATCCTTGCAATCTACACATAGCTGTATACTGAAGTAATCATACACTGCGTATAGCCAAAGGACTTAAAAGTGTATATAAGAATAAGACTTATTTACACCAAATGAGGTACCAAAGACATTTTTTTTCTTCTAAAAAGCAAGCGTTATTAAGAAAGTTTCAAATTTGAAACTTTCCATCCAGTGACAGACAGACTTTACTGACAAGACATTGCAATATGACAATTTCTCTGAGCAAAAAAACTCTTTGAGAGAATCTAAGTTGGATTTCTTTCTAATCTTACTCTTTAGCCAGTGATATAGAGGCCTCAGCTGTCCCCACTGGGATACCATGTTTATGCATTGTCTCAACAATGGTCTGCTGCAGTTCAGAGTTGTAGGAGTCGAAGTCAAACACATTCTTCACAACCGTGGTCAGGCCTTCATTAGGAAATTGCTGAAATATGACAAACAAGACTTGCTTTATCATAATACAGGTATAGTTAAATGAGTAAACAATTCATTTTATGCCATAACTCTCCATGGGGTTTCGTAAGAAAGATGGAACTTTCTTTATGTTCTTCATATTTCAAAGGTCTCGACATTAAAAAAACAAAACAATGTAAGGCGTAAGCCCAAAATTGCTGTCACAGTTTTCGAGAACAGAACGGGTTGTATAAAAGAGTGTACGTGACAATTTTGCACTTAAATTCTCTCGTTTAAAATACTAGTTCAAAATGCAAAGGAGGGAATGGGGTGAACATAGAATGTAAAAGGTTAGGCTTTCCTAAAGCAAGAAAAACCTACCTCCACATAGATCTTAAGGAGGTGATAAATTTGAGGGTCTCCACTCTAGAAAGTACACTAAACTGTGTTGAAGGGATAAAAGATTTTGGTTAGATCGTACATTATTCATCTTTCTGATTAATAATGTGACATTTATTGTGTTGAAATGCTTCTCTCTGACTCAAACCAAGTTAAAATAATTTTCTTTATGACAGTAAGGTGTCATATATTTATAGTTAGGAAGGTGTAAACAATGTATTGACAGCTTGGGATACATACCACTTACATAAAAATGGCAATTTGTAAAAGAGGACATTTTGCGCTGGTATAATATTATA